TGTTACTAAGAACCCAAATCAAACAATTGAAACTCGCTTGCCTTCAGAATCATGGGGGCACCCTGCTCATCGTCCCTCACAAATTATGGAAATTGCCTACTTCCTAACAAACTGCTGGGCAAACAAACGCTTTAACTGAGGGTCGTTCTAGTCAGATGCGCTCGTTACACAGTTGCTATCCTGATCAAGGGTGAAAATTGGAAGTGTTCTTCTCTTTCCGGCGAGTTACCCAACCGACACGATCACACCTGTAATTGCTTCTGTGCTGCCATGCAATCGTGTCCAATAAAGGCGAAAATCGTAATCAGTGTATGCCTCTGGGCCAGCTCGATAGCTTACAAAAATTAACTGCCAGAAAATTTCAATTTCCACCGTATTGATCAGGAAATCGAGTCAGTTATTAGCGACAACGTCGGGCCGAAGCCAGCGATCCATACCGCATAAACTCAAGACCCCGAATAGTGGTTTCATTATCATCGCCGCGGATAGTCATTTGCTCATATTGAACCCTGTTTTGTCATTGTTCAATCTCATCGCTCGGTGTGTAGGAAAACAGACTTTTTTTTTTTTTTTTTAAACCCACTATGACGCCGCTAACACCTTGCGCAAACACAACTTCATCTTTCCAGAAGAAGGTGGGAGACTCTGGGATCACTAACCGAACATCAGTTTGAAAAGAGTAAACTGTAACAAAGGTTAATCTATTCCCATGAAAGACACGCGAGGATCTTTGGCTTTCATCTTTTTTTTTTTTAATGCCGTTGGCTTATGCGATGAATGCGGTGGTCGGTTAAAGAGACGTTGTAGTGCTCGTTTGATGGCGATTTATATGTATGACGGAGCCTAATCTTGACCCCCCCCGCCCCCGCCCACTACCACGACCCATGGCGCTTGTCCTTAATCTGATCTCATCAGATTCGCGATTCTAATCTGCTTTATGAAGCTTATGAAAGTAATCTTTGCACACAGTGACAGTGGAGCGAGTGACTGAGACTGTATGAGCATGTGACTCAACGGATGGGCCAAGCCAGGATGTTTGTCTTGGAAAGCTAGTTTAATACGCTAAATGAGATTACATCTTCAGCGTTACGTGCTGTTGGAGTAAAACACAGACTTAGAATGACTAATTCTCTTGGATAATTTAACCCTATTTGATTGTGTTGTTGTTGTTGTTGTTTTTTTTTTTTTCTTAAAGATCCGGTTATTTTCAGGATTTTATGGATAAGATGAGACAATGTAACATTGAGTGGGGCTGAATTGGCAATTTGGTTCATCATTGTCAAAATGAAAGTAAATCATGAATGTAAATATCATACAATAAATAATATCTCATGGCAGTTCGCCATGACACCCTGGTTGGGAATTGCTGGTAGAAATTATGTAAAAATTTCAGTATGGCAAACTAGCTATTTTTTTTTTTTTTACCTGTTTATGTTAATTGGTTGCTACTTTGCAGAATTTCGTTTATCACGGGTGGTTTTGGTCCCCATTAACTGCGATAAATGAGGGATTACTGTATATATATCCATCCATGTTCCGATCTGCGTTGCATGCTTGGGTTTTCTCCGGGTACTCCTGTTTCCTCCCACATTCCAAAAACATGCATGGCAGGCTGATTGAACACTCTAAATTGCCCCTAGGTGTGAGTGTGAGCATAGATGGTTGTTCATCTGTGTGTACCCTGCGATTGGCTGACAACCGGTTCAGGGTGTCCCCCGCCTACTGTCCGAAGACAGCTGGGATAGGCCCTTTTGACCCTTTTGAGGAGAAGCGGATCGGAAAATGGATGGATGGATGTAATGAATAAAGAGCATCATTAATCCAACCAACAAAACCTTCCCTTTAAATCAATATAAATAATGTATATTATATTTTTATTTCAATGTAACAACACTGCCATTTGTTGGAGGTTTTTTTTAAAGACTTCAATGTAATTTTATTTTATTCAAAATGATTATTTAACATAGCGGCCCGGTGGTCGACTGGTTAGCACGGTAGTCAGAGTGGAGAGGTGCAGGGTTCATTTCAGGGCTCCGGCCTTGCTGTGTGGAGTTTGCAAGTTCTCTCCATGCCTGCGTGCATTTTCTCCAGCTACTCCGGTTTCCCCAGGGTGTCCCCCGCCTACTGCCTGAAGACAGCTGGGATAGGCTCCAGCACGCCCGCAACCCGCATGAGCGTATTTGGAAAATGAATGGATGGATGGATGCATGGAAGTTCCTCCATAGACAGGAAATTGATGATGGTTCTTGATGCCTCGCTGTCATGTTAGACAGCTTCTAATCTTTTCCCGAAATGACTAAACCTATAAAACCCCTAATGGCTTCATACTCTGAAGACCAGCGGTCCAATTTAAAAGTGTGTAAATCAGATTCATCCATCCATTTAATTCACTTGTAATTGAATGCGCCGTGCTGTGTAAATTGGAAGAATGACAAATATTCATGTTGTTACCTAAGAAAGGGCGTTCATATTGAGTTTTGTTGATTCCCTCAGTCCCACCCTTATTGCTACTTTATGAGGCACTCATTTGCATTTCTTATGGTTCATAGATTATGCAGAAAAGATATTGTCATTGCCTCTGATTTGAACTCAAGTCACCCGCCTCCAGATCGTTTTGTGCCCGTCTCGCAAACATTGGGTCACAGCATCATACAAGGTGATTCTGACAGGTAGGGACGTACTCATTTCAATCATTGTATCCCGGGTGAGAGGAAGGAGTTTTATTTTCAATATTTTCTTGACCTTAACAACATAAACGGGTCTAAATGCCTTGTTCGATCATCGTTAAATAACCTAACCAAGTGTTAAAGTACCTGTTGTTTATGCGAGAGCAAATGGCCACACGCTCGTAGCGGTGACCCAAGATGAACTGAGGGTGGGGAGGGAACCACGCTAATTCTATGGGGAGATATCTGAGCACATCTATTTATATCAAATATGACTTCGTAGCACTTAGGCTGAGACGAACACGGTTTCAAATGTTGCAGAGGCAAGTGTGCAAAACACAAGATGTGCCCCCACGCATGAAAGACCCCCGAATGAAAACTACATTCATTCACCGGATGCTTTATTAGGAATGCCTGCACGGTCTAAGTTTAAGGAGATCTAATACATTGCAGCATACTAGGATGTGTTTTGAAAATTTTGCGAACCCTGGAGAACCCACGGGGTCAAATTTGGCCCCTATAAATTCTGCTCCTCAAATGCTACCCTTAAATCCCAAAGGGTCAAATTTGGCCCGAATCCTAAATTAGGATTAAAGCATTAAATATTTGAAGAAACACATATTTTGGTGTTCAGTGAACATTTCGCAGTCATTTCATGTAAAATTCATCATTTTCCAAAGAAAAAAGGGTTCTTGGGTTCTCCAGGGTTAAAGTTCAAGGTGTGCTCCGCCTGGTGCCCTATCGTTAAATGGGATATTTCCCAATTCGCCCTCATACGGACAGTATGTGGTGTGCATTGTGCAGTGCCATTGTCCTGCTTGAAAATGAATCTCACAATATCAAGTCTTGAACAGCCTCCAACAGGTTTTATTTCAGGGTTGCACACAAAATGTGAAAAAATTTAAAGGGTAGAAATACTTTTTCCAAGACACTGCAATGAGGACAAGTACTATAGAATGTGGATATTTGAATGGGTTAGATTATATATAACAATGAAGTCACTTCAAATACTACCCCTCCCACCTCCTGAATACTACGCATAAAATGGCAGAAATTCCTAATCGGCAAAAGTCATATTTTCACTTAAATTAAAGCTAAAAGCCTGCGCTTCAATCACATCTTGATACCCCCCCCCCACCCCCCAAAATGGTGGAATGTGACAGCAAAACATACAAAACTGTCAATGTGCAAATAATTCCTGACCTAACTGCAGAGACGATAGACAACGCTCATTTCATTGTTCTGGTGTACCTAATATTGCATCTGCTGAGAGCACTTGATGGTTTGCTTTCTTGTGGTGGCGTCAAAGTCAAATAATTGCTTCTTGGTGGCATAATTGACCTGCACCGGGCATGATAATCGACCTTGCCTCTGAAAGGGAAAAGAAAGGCATCGTTTGGTGCTGAGCCAGCAAAGTAGAGTCAGAAGAAAAATTGGAATATGAATGGGGAGGGATGTGTGGGTACGTTCATGGGGGCTGGGCTGCGTTGGAAGGGGGTTGAAGGTTGTTTCTGCAACAGCTGAAACGAAATAACGTCACGAAAGCCGCGTCGCTTGTTCAGATTTATCTCTCATGTGACGTCTCTTTCCTCCAGTAAGTTGAACATTTTCACTCCATCTTCATCCTCATCCCAAACACGTCGTGGTACCCAGCTGGCTGCTGCGCTTGCTCAGTACGCACACTGCCAGCCTCTGACGCATGGATATTCCTGACATCATCTTTTTTTTTTCCCGACACACAACCATATTTGGAATATGCCTCCGCTCCACGGACAAACTGAAATTTGCATTGTGAAAAATTGGGAACACTTGCATAATCCAATAAAATCGGCCTTTACAAAGAGAATAAAGATACGGTTTGACTGAGGTATTGTTTATTATCGTACAGTGTATGATACCAAGAGCCGTGCCAATCATTTTAGTTCGCCTGCCTAGCCGTGACACGCAAAATATTAGATGATCGAAAGATTGATTGCTAGACTGATTGATCGAAAGGGCGGTGGGTATTTCGCCACATAGATAGACAGACAGACTGACTGAGAGGGCTGCTTTTAAAAGTAAAAGCGTGATGCTGATTTGAGGTGATTAAAGTGCTCTAATGACGCAAAATGGAGGCTGTATCGAAGGAGCCAAAATGCTTGCTCTGCTATAAATAAATAAACGGATCCCTGACGAGGCTCAAACAGGTCGGAAGGGGGCAGAGTGACGGTAGTAGGAGGCTTTCCTCGCCCCTTTGCATTCACGCTCAATCCACCAATGAGCACAATGAGCTGAGCGGGCACCGCCCACTGGCCGTGTGCGTAACCCCCCACCCCCCTCCAGTTTCCCTCCTCCTCCGCCTCCTTTGAGTGTGTAAATGGTCACATGTTTCCCCTCCCCAGTCCGGACACCAGCACTAGCAGAAGCAGCAGCAGCCGACATGTGTTATTTATCGCTCAGCCGTGGGGGAAGCAAGAGGACGATTGAAGCGTAAAAACAACAACAATCACAACAACAACAAAAAAAGGAACTCGAGCGTCGTCTGTCCTCCAATTTCTTCTTCCTCCTCGTAAGTGTTTTTGAAGAGTAGAATGGCGAGTCCGCCGAGCGACGCCGGACCTCCACTACCGGCCGCCGGCGTGAAGAAGTGCGGCTACCTGAGGAAGCACAAACACGGACACAAGCGATTCTTCGTGCTCAGGGAGCCCGGCGAGGGCTGCCCTGCCCGGCTGGAGTACTACGAGAGCGAGAAGAAATGGAGGAACAAGTCTACCGCCAAGCGGGTCATCCCGCTGGACTGCTGCCTGAACGTCAGCAAGCGAGCGGACGCCAAACACAAATATCTCATCGCGCTGTACACCAAGGACGAGTACTTTGCCGTGGCCGCTGACAGCGAGGGCGAGCAGGAGGGGTGGTACCGGGTGCTGACGGATTTAATCGCGGAGGGGAGAGTGTTCGACGGGTCGGCTTCCAACTCTGCGTCCTCGCTGGTGGGCTTCGACGAGGCGAGCTACGGCGTGATCACGCCGGTCAGCGCCGCCTACAAGGAGGTATGGCAGGTCAATATGAAGTCCAAAGGCTTGGGGCAGAGCAGGAATTTAACCGGCGTCTACAGACTCTGCTTATCCAGTCGGACTATCAGTTTTGTGAAACTCAACACGGAGGTGGCCTCGGTCATTTTGCAGCTGATGAACATCCGGAGGTGCGGCCACTCTGACAGCTTCTTCTTCATCGAGGTGGGTCGTTCTGCAGCCACCGGACCCGGTGAGCTTTGGATGCAAGCCGATGATTCTGTCGTGGCGCAGAACATCCACGAAACCATCCTGGAAGCGATGAAAGCGATGAAGGAGCTCTCTGAATTCCGCCCCCGCAGCAAAAGCCAATCGTCGGGCACCAACCCCATCTCTGTGCCCACTAGGCGGCACCTGAACCACCTTCCCCCCAGCCAGACCGGCCTTCTCCGGAGGTCACGCACTGACAGCATGGCTACAAACTCACCTGTGGGTAAATTCTCCTCCTGTCGGATACGCACGGCCAGCGAGGGAGACGGCACCATGACACGCCCTATGTCGGTGAATGGGAGCCCCCTCAGCCCGGGGGTCCACCGCACCCTCCTGAGCAGGTCTCACACCATCACGGCACGCCCCTGTCGGACGTTCGAATCCTCCTCCCTGCAACACAGTAAGTCCATGTCTATGCCTCTGTCTCATTCCCCGCCCATGGCCGCCCCCAGTCTTGCGAGTCTGTCCTCGTGTCCAGATAGCAGCGCTCCTCGTCCCTCCAGCTGTAGTGCCTCCTTTTCGGGCTCCCCGAGTGACGCTGGTTTCATATCATGTGAGGAGTACGGCACGAGCCCCGCGGATTCCCGCGACCTCCGGCTGCCTCTGACGTACGGTAGCAACACCCCGGAGTCACTCAGAGCAGATACCCCCCCGTCCCGCGACGGCAGCAGGCTCGATGGCTATATGGTGATGGAACAACAGAACCAGAACGGCTATCGGTGGTTCCCAGAGTTGGACAAGGCTTATCGAAAGCGCACATACTCTCTGACCACCCCCCGCCAGCAGAGGTGTCTCCCTCAGGTGTCTTCGGCCTCCCTCGACGAGTACACGTTAATGAGGGCCACTTACACCAGTGGAAGCCAGTCTTCTCGCAGATGTCTCACAGCCTCTCCGAAAGGAACCTTTCAAGATGAGTACAGGGAGGTCCGACTGGGATCAAACTGTCTCCAGGGCGACAGTGGTTACATGCCTATGATGCCAGGCGTGGCACCCCATACGTCAGGAGCTAAGAATGACCCCTACATGCCTATGAGCCCCATGTGTGTCTCTGCTCCGAAACAGATCATCAACCCCCGATCGCACCCCTCCTCTGCGGCAGGGCTGGCCCCGCACACGGAGTCCCCGGGCAGTATTTCCCTTGAAGACAACGGCTACATGCGCATGTGGTGCGGAATCAAAATGTCAATGGAGAGCACTGACGGAAAGCTCACCAATGGAGAGTACCTGAACATGTCTCCTGGAGACCATATCCTGAGTTCTTCCGGAGGAGAGAAACAACACAGACAGCCTTATTCTCTGCCACATTCAATTAAGGGCCAGTCGCAGCGCAGCGGGTCCACTGACACAGACCAATATGTGGTTATGTGTTTACAGAGGCAGCGTATCGAAGAGGAGTCTAACTACTGTCCCGTGTCTTTGGGAGACTCTGTGACACCGGGCGCAACTTCATCTACCCCCCCTCCTCTCAGGGGGGCTCGGAGTGACGGTGGTCTGGTGCACAGGAGTAGGGCATGCCGACCCACCCGCCTGGCTCTAGATTCTCTCAGAACCTTACCATGTATGAGCGAACACCCGCTCCCCTCCGAGCCGCGCAGCCCGGGGGAGTATATTAACATCGACTTCAGCGGCGCTTCCAGTGACGCGGTGGCATCCGTTGAAGGCTCAAAATGCCCAGACGAGGTATCTTCACCGCTCTCGGACTATGTTAATGTGGACCTTGCCTCGCCGAAGAGTGTGGTTTCTCCCCCTGGGGGAATTTTGCACCAGGAGGAGGAGAGCAAAGTCGTAGAGGGTCCGGCAGAGGTGAGAGGGGTGGTGGTGGATGAATATCCTCTCCAGCATCATGTGAGTCTGGCGTGTCAGCCAGCGGCAGTCAAGGATGACTACACCGAGATGACGTTTTGTCCGCTCTGTGCCACCGATGATGCCCCCCTGCCTACCAGCCCCAGCGCCTGCGTCCATAGACTGAGTCTTGAGAGCAGCCTTGTCGCGGACGGAGTACCGGCGGCGCCAGTGGATTCTTTTCTTCTCGGGGGACCGTCGCTGAATGTGCCCCTTGCAGATCCTCATAGGGGGGCCAAAGTCATTCGTGCCGACCCTCAGGGACGCCGGCGACACAGCTCCGAGACCTTCTCTTCTACCACTACTGTCACGCCCGTGTGCCCATCCTTTGCCCACGACACCAAACGCCACAGTTCGGCTTCGGTGGAGAACGTGTCGCATGGCGTGCGGGGCTCGGAGGGACCCGATGAGGACTATAGCAGCAGCACCCCGATGAGCAGGGAGACGTCTGCGGGCTATCAGAACGGACTCAACTACATTGCCTTGAACTTGATGGAGGGGGCTCTCGGTGGATGCCGGTTAGGGGGCTGCGATGGACTGCTGAGATTCAAAACTGCCTGCGGATGCAAGGGTGGTATGAATGGCTTCAACTCCAGCCCCTATGCCAGCCTTGGATTCAAGGAGACGACTGCCGCTGCTGTGAAAGGTGAGTGCCATGATGTACACGCGTTCATTCAGGAAGCTTTCATTCATGAAGGGAGTAGTATCATTACTGGAGCAGGATCCGGCGTAGTGCTTCTGTGTACTCTGCAGATTGACTCGTGGTTGCTAGGCAGCGCTGAGGCTCATTTTCATTCCCAAGTTTATGAAAAATTGTGAGAGCGCAGTGTTTCCGCCTGCAGCCGGGCTTGTAGTTACCGGATTCAGCGCACTGACTGTAAGCTGAAAGTTGGTAATCGGCATGTATTTTGGGGGGCGCCGAATCAAGAAGAATGTTGCATAGTTTTCGGCTTGTTGCTCAACAACATAGCAACCTACGTTGTAATGTAACAAAACGAGGGCGAAACCACGTTAGACAGCGTATCCTATCAACTTTGGTCACGCGCAGGCCTCACTTTGTGCAGTTTTGTGTGTCACGGCGACCGAGGGGAGTTGTTCCAAATATCGCTGTGAGGTGCAGGCGGTGATGTTTAGATTGGATTAGTCACCCCCTCGTCGCCCTCTCGTCACACCCATGACACGACGAGGAATTTCACAGGAGCATGATGTGAAGGAGAGCTGTTTGCTCAGCCTTTCATCTGCTTTGGGCTTCATGGATACCAGGTTGCAACGATACGACACAAAACTCAATCTAGAATGCCCCTTACTCTTCCTGACGCCATTAAAATGATCATTCATGGTTTCTATATTCCTATACTTGCTGTCATTTGAGCTCAGGAGACGTTGCATTCGACCATCTAGTGTACTACTGACGCATGTGTTTACTACACTGGCTGAATTAAAGTAGCAACACCAGCAAAGAAACGGTGTTTTAATACCTCACTGTTGAGCAGGTTGATTCGTCTTCCGTTTGGTTCTATTGTGTTTATACGGCCGAATACTACACTGTTGATGGGTTGTCTTTCCGGGAATGAACAGTTGCCATCAAAATATCACCTTTCACCTCGTTCTGCGTGCTGTTGCATCACTGGCTTTTCATGTAACACTCTTCAAGGCAGGGATTATTTACACGGATAGGTGACCAAACAGCGGCATTTCAGAAGTCGCTGTTACCTGAAAAGACACTCCGGGGCGGAATGGTTGTGAAGTCTTGTGAATTGCTGTTTGTGCTTTCACAACAGAACTTGGCTCTTTGCTAGTAGGGCGGGATGATTTATCGTGTCGGGATCATAATGGCGATCAAAGACGACGCGTTTTTGTGATCGTTGTAGTTTAGTTTTGTTGTTGACGACATCCCCTGACCTTAACCCGCAGGGGGGCAAGGTAAAACTTAAAAACAACTTCTGGGGGGGAAATGAGAAACCTTGAGAAGGGGCCGCAGATGGGAGAAATCCCCCTTCCAGGATGACCATGCTGCAATGGATGCCGAGTGGGCAACCTTTGACACAATATTGTTTCATACAATGTTAGTTAGAATAAGCTAAAATTTGAACAAGTACCACGATCACTAAAGGCAAACAAGGCGTAGCTTAAGCATGCGAGCAACAAGAGGAAACACGCGAAGATGGAGACGTTCATGTGAAAACTAATGTGAAACGCCGAGTCATGAAAGACCAAAATCGGTACTTACCAAAGTCAGACTTGAACCGCGTTAGGGTGGGGAGCAACCTGCTTTGAACAGCAAAGCATTACAATGAATAATTATCGAGGAGTAAAATAAGACAACGGCTACATAGTTAGCACACGCTCGATAACCGGAAATGAATCGGTTGTGGCTGATGTCAAGTCAAAAGTACAACACATGTTTATGGTATCAGCTGTGTTGTTTGCATTATTTTGCACCTCAGAGTACTGAATTTTGTCATCTTCGCACTAATAGGGCTCCAAATCAATATTTTTAATGGATTTAGCTTTGCTAAGACATTGTTTCCCTAAACGATTTAGTTACATAAAAGAGGAAACGTACATGTTCACATGAAAATGCGGAATTTGAATTCTCGTGATATGAATTTCAGGGCAGATCACGAAGTTCTTGGTCTTTTGTTTTTGAAGCACGAGAGTCTCTAAAAGCCATATGGAAAAAGAAAAACATTTGCATGTACAGAGAACATGTCAATGAGTACAACATGTAGACCATTTTTGGTTAGAAAAATGCATGCATACACATACCGAATTGCATATTTATACAGGTATGACGGCAAGCAGTCGATCTCGCTTTATCGAATCGCGTTCAACTTTCGAAAGCGCTGTCGACCTCACACAGCCTTGAATGCACCTCTCGAATCAGCGCGTGACGAGAGTCATCGCTTCTCTTGTTTTGACGTCATGTTCTGCCATGTTTGTGAATGTCACTCAACATAGTGAGCATTGCAGTGAGGCTTGATTTGAGGAGAATTCTGAATTTGAATCCGATTTGTAACGTCTGTCAGAAAAATCGCAAGCCAATCCTCTCCTGAATTTGTTTCGGCCCGATTCGCTGGTCTCTCTTTTGGTCTGTGTGCCAGCTCTGACGCTTCTCGCGGCACTGTGCAAGTCATCGGGTTCCCCGGGAAAACAAGTGAGTCAGTTGTTTATCAATTGTCAGGTACCGGGTTTCAGGCCTGGAATGCGGGGCAGTGTGCAAAGGTTGCTGGGAGAGGTGAATGCTCACTTGTTTTTCTAACCTGGCAGGCTGATGAACTGAAGGGGGATGGGGATTTTTTTTTCTTTAATTACCGGGAACAACTGCACAAACATGCTATGGCTGTTACTGGTTGTATGAACATTTGTGATTTGACCTTGAAAGTTTGCTGGCGGCTTATGAATAAAGCCAAGAGGTAGAAGCCATTGCTGTTTTTTTTTTTTTGTTTTTATTATTTTTTTTATGAAAATGTTTTATTCTAGTTGCCCCCTCCCACCCCCACGTGTGAGCTACCTTTTTGAGAACTTGAAGGAAGTTTATAAAGAGAGATATTTTTAGCATTTTGAACTCATCTCTATAATGAAGAACAGACAGTCCCTTGGTTTGACCGATTGGAAAAGTAACAATAGTTTAAAAAAAAAAAAACAAAAAAAAAGTTTTTACTGTTGTAATTTTTGAAAATATAAATTTTAGTTGACAGAAACTAATTGGGGAATCACCACCCACCGGTTTGGCATGCATCTACCAGGCAATCTTTTTCGATTATGGCATCTGTACCATCAACTTTTCCAGATCTTAACGAAAAAAAAAAACAAGTTTTACTTGGTCATTGTCATGTAAATGTGCCCTTCAAGATCACCCGCCGCTTACTTCCACGACTCCCATTTCTTCTGCGGCGACGCCTTCCAAATGAATAAACATGCACGATCAAAGGAGAGATGAGGCGTCGCCTTCCGCAAGCTTTGCCGCATTTTCTTGTTATCACCGACTGAGCCCATAGTTGACATTCCCTTCAGTGCTGCAGTTTGAAACAATAGGAACTCAAATTCTGTGTCCTCATTTGGCATTTGCAGTCACCCTGTGGAGTGGGGGAAGGAGGGGGAAGTAGTGTGGGGTCCAAGTGAGGGCGGAGGGGGGGGGGGCAGTTGCCGTTCTAAAATTCAACACACATGTGAATGAATATGAGAACGAAGAGGGGGGGGTGCATTCTATGTCTCTATATATGGACTTTCTCGTTTGTGTATGCAGCGGATCACTTTTATTGGTTAGTTGTTTGCGGCAGCGGGCTCCACTGTTTCGCCTTCAAGGGCACGCCTCCTGACCCCGCCGCAATGTCAGTCCGGTGACCTTTAAACGACGGCGAAATGCAACATGCCGCACCGTGGAAGCGCGTGGATTACTTTGACCATACTTCTTCTGAGCCCAACCTTTCATCTCATTGCCCCCGCCACCCCCCCCCCACCCTCTGTTGTAACAGCCGTCTTGCATGGTTGCGTTTAGGGGAGAATCTGACTCACTCCCTCCATGCCTTGCCGAATTTAGCAGCCCAACGCACAC